GTGATGGGAAATTTCTGTCCCGACTTTTCTTGGCAAAGTTCTGTTCTTCTCCCTCTTTATTTTTTTAATAAATTTTTTTTTCATTTTGGTTTTTAATCTTCAGTTTTTTGTATGGGATATATATGGATATACATGTGAGTATGTGTAACTGTATATATCTCTATCTCAATCTTTGAAACTCTATCCATCTGTGGAGTTTCAACAGTAACTGAAGCTTGCACAGTGAAAAGTCTTCTCTGATCCCTAGCCCCAGCCACCCACACCTCCATCCTTTTGTGCGTGCCAAAATTGTTCATGGTTTCTTTTGTTTTCCATCCAGAGAAAGTCTGTGAATATGTACACAAAAAAAATATGTCTCCTATCCCCGTTTTTAATAAAATGGTAGCACACCACACTTAATCCTGTGTACTTCTATTTTTCCACTAAATCTACTTGGGGATCATTCAATATCCTTACGTAAAGAGCCCCTCCCTTCCTTCCTTCCTTCCTTCCTTCCTTCCTTCCTTCCTTCCTTCCTTCCTTCCTTCCTTCCTTCCTTCCTTCCTTCCTTCCTTCTTTTCTCCCTTCCATCTTCCCTCCCTCCCCCCTTCCTCACTTCTTCCTTCCTCTCTCTCTCTTTTTCTTTCATGATAGCTGCATAACATTCTACTTTTTGGTTGTATGACAATACTTTTACCATCTCTTCTGCATGAGCATCTTTTGTTTCCAATCACTTGCCACAAAGTACAAGGCTACAGTGAATTTCCTTACAAATTTCACAAGTGTAAGGGCATATCTATACCCCATAAATGGAATTAGTGGTTCAAAGCATAAATGTGTTTGTAAATATGATAGTGTCACACTGCCTATCCCACCCTGAGTGCATTTGTTGGCACTCCCACCAGCCTGCCTCTCCACCCCCGAAGGAACATAGTATGTAATCAAATGTTTTGGTATGGCTAATACTGGATAGATATAAAATGGTATCTCAAAGTGTTTTAGGATTTATTTTCAAACATCATTACGTGGTTTAATTTACACACCATGAAGTTTATTCATTTTAAATGTACATTTCATAGATTCTAGTAAATTTATGGAGTTGCAACCATCACCACAGTCTAATTTTAGAACATATCTCTCTTCCCAAATCTTTCAATGTGTTTTAAATTTTCATTTGTCTTGGTGAGACTGAGCATATTTTCATCAATCTAAGAGCCATTTCTAGTTCCTTTTCTGTAAATGTTCTGTTCACACTCTTTGCCTATTTTTTTCTCTTATATTTTTGTCTTATTGATTTGTAGGCACTCTTTATATATTATGCTCTCAGACTAGGATAAGTGCCTCTCCCCCAAGCATCCTGTGCTTCTAATTCTCACAGGCTGGAATTAACTGAATCTCTTAATGTGCCTGCACCTCCACCACCCTGTGAGTTGTCTGCCCACAGTGACCATATCAGGTTTCATTACATGCCCTTACCTCTCAGCACAGGACCTGACGCAGAGTAGGTCTCTGCAAATATGCTTGGATTCAATATCTGTAAATATATGTTCTTTGCCCCTCAGAGTTCCTGTCACGATTTGTGATGATGTATTAATCTGTGTTATGTCTGACTGTTCCCTGAGGACAGGTACCATAGCTGTTTTATTCAATACTGTATACCCAGGGTCCAAAACAGTGTGGCCAAACACATTATTTTAAAGTGTTGATTGGATTAATTAATTTATTTATTATTAAGTGGTTTACAGTACCTGGAGGGAGAAAGATATTGGAAATTCCAGCAAAGGATACAGAGAAGAGAGGCCAAAACCAACATAGCCACAGCACACGTTATTTTTATGAGCGACACATCCCTGACCCGTGGGCCTGAAGTGGGTGGGCGAAGACCCCAGTGCACAGGGGGCTGGTGATACAGAACTCCAGCATTACATTACCATACAAGAATGTGGGCCCAGGGTAGCCAATCTTCCAAATTTTCAAGAGAAGCTGGAAATGAAGTTCTTTATGTGAAATCTCCCACTTTGAAATGTTGGTGACAATTAGTCACTGCACGGGTCCCTGAGACTTGGATTGCCAATTTTCAAAGCCTGGATCACAAAACTCCTTTCAAATACATGCTTATGAGTAATTCTCATAACCCTGGAGGGAGGTTTGCAGAAACAGACCTGAGGCTCAGAGTAGGAAAGTGACTTGCCTAAGGCCACCCAGCCAGAAGGGGTGTGAGTATATATGTTGGGGGGAGTCCTGGCCCAAGAACCTACATTAATCCACAGCTCCTCTCCTGGGAGGGAATTGGGGCATTTCTGAGCGAACAGGGAGCTTATTCTCCGAGTCCCTGGGCAAAGCCTTTCATGGGGTTTGTCTCAAGCCCACCTGAGCAGGGTGAAGCTTGGCCTGGCCATGGGCTGACTGGACTCCCACCTGGAAGCCCAGGCGGGCTGTGGCCTTCTCTAGTTCTAGTTACTTCACTGTCCATGCCCCACGCATAGCAATTAATCATCACCACCTCATGACGACTCGGGTATAATTATCTGGGAAGGCCCAGGCCTTCCCAGAGAGGCCACGTCTCCCTGAGAACACAGGGTGAGAAGTGTTCTCTGCCCCCACTAGCAACGCAGGCGTGCCTTGCAGAGCGGCCTCCATGATGCTCTTTCCCTTAAGTCCCAGGTCCCTCTGGACTTGCCAGCATGTGCAGGTTGGTGGAGCCAGGCATCCTGGGGCCAGGGTGAGCACAACACAGGGGCAGGGTAGGGGGGAATGGTCTAACGATAAGGAGAAATGATCATGATAGCAGGGCACACTCTGACCCACTTGCTCTGGCCTCCTCTTGTCCACATTCACTCATTCCCAAAGTTGTGCCTGATGCCGACCAGTTATCAGAGGAGATTCCAGGCTATCACTGGGGAACAAGACAGATTCCCTTTCCCCAGGGAGCCTAGCATTCCAGTGGGGCAAGAGAGCCAGCAACTTGCACAAACAGGGAGGAGACTAGTTTACGCTGAAAGTACTTATTCTAAAAGAAAAGTCTGAAGGCTCAGTTTTGCTCTCTGAGGGGTGACATTTGAGCAGAGGCAGGATACACTCTGGGTAGAGGGAAGAGCAGACACAAAGGCCCCGGGGTGGGAGGAATGTCCTGGCTTGTTCAAAGAACAGAAGGAAGGCCACTGTGACTGGATCAAGAAAGGGGGAAAATAGGTCTGAGTGATCAGCAAACGCTATTACACAGGTTCCAGAGGAGTTTGGCTGTTATCCTAAATTCAGTGGACACATTCTAAGAAATGATTTCTTGTTGCCAGCTAAGCTGTGTGACCTTTGACAGTTTGCTAGGTCTATAATTTCCTGCCATCCATCTATCCTTTCAAGAAACACGGAGCATCTACTGTGTGTCAGCCCAGCCCTGGGGACACAGCGGTGACAAAACAAAGCCCCTGTTTCTGGAGAGTCCACCTCCGGGAGGAGAGGACCCCTACCCCAGCTCTTCTGCCTGGTGACTGGGGTTCAGGCTGCCGGCTCCCGGGGACCCCACTCGGGACACCGGCGGCCGCCAGGTGGCGCTCTGCGCCTGCGCAAGGGCCGCCGCTCGGGGGTCGCCGGGCCGGGACCGGACCCCCCGGCGGGGGAGGGGCGGCCGGGCGGGGGGCGGGGCCCGCGCCGCAGGTTGTGTGACTTTGGGTTTGACCTGCCTGGAGATGAGCTAATCCCGCGGTATAATAGACTCCGGGGAGATAGGGAAAATGGCTGCGGCGCTATCTGCGTCGCCATGGGGACCATCGCGCGCGCGCGGGCGGGGCTCGAGCCTGGAAAAATACAGCCTTTGTCGGCGGCGCGTGTCACTCACGGCGCGGGGACCTCAGGCGGCGGGGCTCGGGTCTCTCTTTCCTCAGGTCCGGAGCGGGGAGGCTCTGGGGCCCCTGGCGGGGCGTGCTTTCTGAGGCGGGTTGGGACCCCTGGGTGTTCCCAAACTCCTCGGAAGACCCCTCTCCCTTACACACCCGCACACCCCGTTTTCTGTCAACTAGCACATCCCATTCCTTCTACTGTGGCGTCTATCACACCCGCACACACCTTTCCCTCCCCGCTGGCTGGCTCTTCCCCAAGCTGGAGAGGGGTCCCAGCTCCCCAGCTCTTGCGTCCGGAGCCTGCACTTGCAGGCGCAGGCACAGGCCCCAACGACTGCCCCTCCCTCTTGGCCTCCGCAGCACACCCGGGCACTCCCAGGCAGCTAGATACACAACAACACAACCACCCTCACGCAGATCCGTGCACCCTGAAGGCGCACACCGGGGTGAACACCGACACCTTGCACACTCACTCACTCCTGGCAGTCACAGGTATGCATGGATGCACATGCTTACGGGCCTGTATGAACCCAGAACACTGAGTAGGGTGGGACGCCTGCAGGCACACAACACTCAGGAGAGTAACACACCCATGTCCGAATATACACGTACACACGCGCCCTAGTGGCAGATGACACCACCTCCTGTGTGCACACTTAAACAGCCTCGTCGAGGGCAGATACATTGAGGCACTCACAATACACTCATTCACCACACTGTACACATGGATTTGCACACCTACCCTTTCACACACGTATCTACCCATCCTGAGTAACATGCATACCTACACACTCACGTGCAACATCTCTTCCTCTGTGCACCCTCAAACAGCCTCTGCTGGGCCATCTCCAGGCACTCACGGCACACACGCCCACCACGCATGTGCGTGTGGGCTTGCACATCTGCACTTTCTTGTAGCACTCTTCTTTGACATAACCGCATGCACACCAATACCCTTTCTTGTTCAGTGCCTATCCACTCGCACACGCGAATGTCCATCCAAACATGCCGGGCACACCCGGGGGCGCACACGCGGGTGCCCCCGGCAGGCAGGCAGGCAGGCGGCGCGGGCACGGGGCGCCCGGCGTGCCCCCCGCGGACGGCTATCTGCCTGCCCATCAGCGCGCGGATCTGCGGTGGTAAATGATGCATTCGATGGCGGGCGCATTTGTTGTGCGCGCTCTGAAAGGGCTCCGATAATCTGGAAGGCAGAGATAAGGAACACCATTTATTCCGCGGCACTTTGGAAACAATTCCCAGCCCTGTACAACCCCATTCTCGGGCAGCCTCCGGGAGCCGGGCAGATAACGATTGGCTATTCATTATCTTCGCCGGGAACAAAGATTAGCCGGCCGAGATGAAAAATTACCCCGGACAGCGGCGCAGCCCCGCGCGGACCCCCCTGCCCGCCGCCGCCGCCCGCGCCTCGGTGCCCCGCCCGGCCCGCGGGCTCTGCGCTCACACCCTCCGGGCCCGCAGCCTGGCGAGCGGCCTCCCGCGCTCGTGTCGGGCGCGGTGCTCGGCATTGCCGCGGTCCCTCCATCCATCTGTCCATCCTGCCCAGCCTGTCTGCCGCGTCCCCACTCTTCCCTCAGTCTATTTGGGGCCCTTCCTGCTCTCCCTCTTCTCCCGCTGCTCTCAGAGCCCGTCCGGGTTCCCTTCTGTCTTCCATCTCTCTTTTTGATTTGTTTTGCTCTCTCTCTCCTCTCTGTATCTCTCCCTTGTCTCTTTGTCCGTGTCTGTCTCTGGTTAACACTTTCGCTGCTTTTGTTCCCTTCTCTCTGACTCTTTTGCCACTTTCTGGTTGTTTGTTTTTGTCTGTTCCTGCATGTCCCCAAACTACCCCTCCATCCCCTACTGGTGTCTCTGTTCCTCTATGGCAGTTGCTTTTTAAAATCTGTTCTTGGGTCTCCCTGTTTCATCCCTGTTCCCTGTCTCTCTGGGTCTTGTCATCCCTGGGCCTCCATGTCTCTCAATCTACCCCCACCCAAGGGTCCCCCCCACCCTGCATCAGTGGGCCTCACTCCCCCTACCCTCTTAAGGCTGTGTTCCTGACTGCAGACCAGAGGCTGGGAGGCTCTGGCCAGCCCAGCCCAGCCCAGCCCAGCAGAGAGATGGCAGGTGGGGTGGGGGTGTAAGACCTCGAACCCCCCTCTGAAGAAACAAGACCGAACTAAAAAAGGCCCAGTAGACATTCAGGCCCTGCTGGGTTCATGGGGATTTGCCCTTGTGCCCCAGCACTGGCTCCCCCATGCCCCTCCCCAGTGAGGCTGGGGGCCTTGGGAGCGGGTGGTCCCAGCAAGGCCACCTCATTAGAGCGGTTATTCAGCATGGCGCTGGCTTCGGCAGATAAGCCTTATCAGCTCATCGCCCCCTCCCACAGACAGACAGAAAGTACCCTCGCAAATGGCACCCCGGAGCTCCACTGGCCGCCTGCCCTGCCAGTTAGGGATGATGGGTGATCTGGGAAGACACACATATTGTGTGTCACCCAGAGACACACACTTCCCCAGACAACAGACACAGGGTAATACTGGGTAGAGAAACACACATAGTTCAAAGATAATTCATACACACAGATACCCACACCCTAGGTAAACAGACATAAACACCCAGCCCAACACATATCAGTTCATACCTACAGCTATACCCAGATATGCAGACACACTTGGCTACACTCTACACTGTCCACAATCAGCTCAAAGATACAATGATACACACCCAATACCCAGTGCTGGTAAAGACAGACACACACACACCATGCACACACACCCCAATTCATAGACACAGGATACCCAGACACACACTGCTACCGACCCACATAGGGACACACACCAATTTATAAATAAACACTTGGAAATACTCATTTCCCATCAAATGATTCATGGACACAATGATCACACAGATACACAGCCACAGGGACACACATCCCAGTTCCACAGAGACACTCTCCCACATGCACTCCGGGAGTCATGCTCCGAAACAGCCACACATAATATACAAACTCTCAGGAACCCACAAAACACAGACTCTCAATATACAAACTCTCAGGGACCCACAAGAAGAAATGGGCATACTAATATACTCAGTTTTGCAGACTTTCCATGCGCTCACAAATGCACACAGACACACAGGGGCGCTCAGGATAGATATTCTCCTGCGTGCACACAGCAAATACATATGCAACACAGTCACTATCAGCTTCAAAGAAAGACCCACAGATAGAAGATGCCCAGAGAGATGGGGGGCTGGACACTCTGGGACACACACTAGTTTTCCCAGTCCTTCCAAAGCAAAGCACTTTCTCTTTGGGCCCAAGATCCCCCAGGCCACTTTGACTCCCCCAGGGCAGCTGGTATGGGACCAGCCCTCCACCCCTGCACTGTGGAGTTGAATTTTGAGGTAGGAACTTTGGAAGTTCAAGGACTATATTCCCCTAGCTCACAAACCCGAAAGCATTCTTGCCCAGAAGACTCCCACACCCAACTCCTCTGCCTAGCCTTCCAAAGACAAACCCTCTACTCCCTAGCCCCCTCCTGTGAGAGGGTTCCTTGGGGATGGTCAAGGAGAAGCCTCACACCCCACTCCTGAAATGCTCTGGTCTGCTCTGGAGTTGGGGAATTCGAATGGGGGTATAGATGGGGAAGGGAGAGGCCATATGTCTACATCTAGCCGAGTCAGCCTGGAAGTGAGGGGTGTGTGTGTGTGCTCGAGCGTGCATGCTGCGCGTGCCAGATTCTCAAGCTACATTTGGGTGTGTGCACGTATGCATGCCAATGTGACCCACATCTCCCGGCTGAGGATGTCCACGCAGCCCCAACTGTGTGCACTAACGCGTGTGCACAGATGTGTGTCTGCGTGAGCACTGTTGGAAGAAGGTTGGAGGAGGAGCAGGCGGCTGTGTATGTGTGTGGGCGCTTGTGGCCACGGTTCGTGAGGGTCCCCGGGGAGAGTCTCCAAAAAGAGAGGTCCCGGACTTTCTGAACATACACCCTTGAGCGCAGGGGTGCTCATTTGTGTGCCCCTGCAAGGGCGGGAGTAGTCTGGAGTATGGGCGAGTAGGGTGTTGCGCCTTGAGTGCCCACCGGCCCTCGGCCTGCCGTCCCGCGGCTGGACCAGGGAAACGGGGCGCAGAGCTCTGGGCACCCCCCTGCCCCCCTGCGGCGCTCCCGCCCCCTCAAAGTGCTGTCGAAATAAAAAGCAGCGGCCACTGCGGCCGGGGGAGGGGAGGGAGAGGCAGCGGGAGCGAGAGGGAGGTAACAAGGCCAGCGCCGCCCGGGCTCGCTGCTCAAGCCTCTATCTCCTGGCTGCCTTCGCCCCCACCCCAGCCGGCCCCCGTCGGCCACCGGGCGAACAAAAGCGGCCCGCCGCTCACCATGCGGCCACTCGGCGCGCCGCCCCGGCCCTGCTGGTGAACGCCGCCAGCCCGCGCCGGGTCCTGTGGGCCCACCTAGCCACGCACCGCGCTGTGCGCCCCGCTCCGCTCCGGCCCCGTCCACCCGGGGGCGCAGCCCGCCGCACCTCGCTCGGTAAGTCCCCCCACCTCCGCCTGGCCAGGGCCCTTCCAGCCCCCAGGTTTGGGCCCCCTAAACGCGGTCCGCCTAGCCCAGTGGCCCCTGACATGTGGCCTTCGGGGTTCGCCCTGGTCCTACCAGCGGCTCGAACCCCAGGTCATAGGGGCCTAATCCTGAGGGAGTATTTGCGGAGTTGAGGACAGCAGGCCCGCGTCCGGCCTCCCGCTTTCCCATTTCTCGGATGCAGCCATACATAGGCCGCGAGCCCCGGTTATTCCCAGTGCCTCGCAAAGCGCCCCACCTCCCGGCCCCCGAGCTGGGGTCTTTGTCTCGGCCGCCCCCACCTCCGGGCCACGGCGGCGGAGGCGCCCAAGCCCGGCAGCCGAGGCGCCCAAGCCCGGCAGCCGAGCCGCGGCTGCACCTGCCGACTGGTCCCGTGCGCCGGCTTTGCGCGGCTTAACCCGGCTCGCTCCTGCGTGCGCCCCCGGGCGCCGCGCCCCGCGGCCCTTTATCCTGTGTGGCTGGGGTGCGGGTGGGGGAGAGCGCCGGGTCTGGAAGTCTCCCCCCAGCCCCAAGCCGGAGTCGGAATCTGTTTAGTGGGATTTCAATAAGAATGGGGCCGCCGCGGGCTCCGGGATCTGCCTCCGGGAGGCGTAGACGGCGTTCTCGGTCTGCCTGGACGCCGGGCATTTAGAATCCTTCGGCGGCAGCCAGGCTTGAACTCCAGGTTGCCCCAACCGCGAGGGGAAAGATCCGGCGTTCAGGGCCCCCGGGAGTGGCGGCCGCTCCTTTCCCGGAAAACACGGAAGGAAATTCGTTGTTTTGGAAAAAGCTACGTCTCCCGGGGATCGGGAACATCTGGCGGTGAGCTCCGGGTCTACACGGGCACCTAGCGATGGGATTCGTTTATGAGTAGGCAGAATTCGAGAAGCAGGTAGGGCCAGGGCGGCTGCCCAGGCGTCTGGAGAGCGTTTCCCAGCCGGGTTGACAAATTGCAAACAAATTGCGTCTAACGAAACGGATTTACCAGTTGTCATGCTGCCGGGCCGCCGGGCCGCCCGGCCGCCAGGCGCTCTGAGTAAACCGTGGCTGTTGGTGAAGCACGGAAAAACGCTGCTTGATTGCTGCAGGTCTCAGCAGGGCCCATGGGGGAGGCTGTGCGGGTTGGAGGTGGAACCTGATAAGGAGATACGGGATCTCCCAGGCGCCTCGACCCAGGGCGCCAAGACTTCTCGATCGTGGGCCCCGGGTTTTACGATTCGAAAAGGCCCAAAAGACGTAAGGGGTGGGAGAATCTTCATGGAGGCCACAGGAGAGGGAGCCTTCACATTTGGGGGACTGGAAGTGAACCCCAACGAGCAGAAGGGGGTGTTGGAGCCTGGACCCTCCATTGCAGAACCCCTCTGGAGGGATGGCTGCAGGCCTGAGCAGATCTGAGGCCTTGCCCTTTGGGGACTTCTGAACCCCTCTGGCTAAAGCGGCCCCCACTTCCTCCTCAGTACCCCTCAAGGCACATTGCCAGCGTAGGGCTGGGAGGTCGCTGGATTGACAATTAAATATCCCTATGGAAGGCAGCCCCTAAGCAAACTGGTTTCTTTGAATCTCCCCTCCACTGCAGGCCAATTCGATGCCCATAGGAAAAGGTGGGAAGAATTAGGTTACAAAGAGAGGGCAAACTTATGGTTCCAGAGGGGCTACCTTGGATGACGGAAGTTTAAACAAAGGGCGTGGAGGGGAGGGCCATGTAGAACGAGGAAGACCGGGCAGCTGAGAGCCACGGCCCAGGCCGGTGAGGCCCCGTAGAACCGGGCCTCCGGATCCCTGCGCTGCCAGCTCCCCGGAGAAAGCATCCTGAGCCGCACCGATGACCCATGCTTTCTCGGGGAATCTCAGGTCGCTTGGAAAAGGCAGTTAGAAAATTCAGTTTCTCTGCTGCCCTTCCTCAGTGCTTCCTGAAGTCTTGTTCTTATGTAAGGAAAATGACAGCTTCTCGGTGCGATCAAAAGGCAGCACCCGCATAAGCAACAACCCTTGGAAACGAACAAAAACATGAAGAAGGGAACGCGTCCCTCTGAAGGTGTTCCGGAGACCCGTAATCCCGAGGCTGTAAACTGAAATAAATCTGCTCTTCTCAGGCTCAAGGATGCCCCCGCAATCCCAGCCGATTTGGGGGGCCACCCTGATCCTCCCCCCACGTTTGTCTGGGTACAGGTGATAGGATGGTCTCCGTTGCCTACTGGGCAAGATGCCCGGGTAGTGTCCCTTGGTTTGTCTGGCATACACGTACACTCATGATTGGAGTGGGGGTTGTTTTACCGACCAGCTGGGCCTTCTCCTGCCTGGCGCCCCTCTTTTCTCTCCCAGGCGGGTTCGTTCCTCCGGGAGAACGCAGCAGTCCCGCGTCCAACGCAGGAGCTCAAATCATAGTGGAGGCCTCCGACAAGCCGGCTGCCTGCCTGCCTTTTGGAGGAAGGCAACCCCGGGGGGGCCTCAAGAGACCTGGGGGAGCTCCCTCCTCCCCTTTTCTCTAGACCCCGATTGCGGGAAGGGAGACTGGTGCGGATCTCCCGAGGCCCCTGCTCAAGCATTGCTTAACTGCCCTGCTAAGCTCCTCTGCGCTGCGATTTTCTGAGCCGCCGAGCGGGGTAATTAAATCCCTGCCCGCGCTCGGTTCTGCGCCAGGCCAGCGGGCAGCTCGGGGCTGCTGTTCAGGGAGGGGGCCCGGCCAGGATGGTCACCTCCACTCCTGCGGTGGCCCAGACGCTGCCCCGGAGAGGCTTCAGGTTGCCCCGGAGGAGCTTTTAGCCGAGTTCGGAATGATGAAACTGCAGGCCCACCCAGGATGGGGGTCATTTGAACCACGCCTTTGGGGGAAATAAAGCGAATTACCTGTTTTCCCGAGGGCCGGAGCGGCCACGTCCCTGCGAGACAAGACGCAGATCGCAGCCCCATGGAAAGCTTCCGCTCGGCTCCGGCGTTCAAGGCCCCGCGACCGGCGAGCGGCTGGCTGCCTCCTGCGCTGGGTCCCGGGGTTCAGGCTGACGGGGCAGCCTTGCCCGACACCGGGGATTGTCCCCGGGGCCGCGGTGTCTTTGATAAGCTCTCGCTGGGCTCCAGGGACGCCAAACACGTTCGAGGCTCTGACGATCGCATTTTACGCGATGATGAAGAATCGTAAGCTAAAGGCAGGGAGGAGAGAGAGACGAACAGAGAGGCAGCGAGTCCGGCCCAGACCGCGCGCGTTGCGGGGAACGCGAACCGAAAGGCACTGAGGCCAATCACCTGCCCGGCCCGGCCGTGGAGGCCCGGCGCCCGCGGCCTCGCGCTCCCACTCCCCGGTCCCGGCGCGCTTTATCCGGCTGGCGCCGGCCTCCTCTCATGCGGAGCGGAGTTCCGAGAAGCCCGGGCGGGCCTGGCGCGCCCCGGAGTGGAGGGGAGCGGGAGGCGCAGCGGGCCGCCGGGGCAGGAGGGTCCCTAAGCTCCCGGGACGCGCTGGTTCCCAGCCAGATGGGGCTCCGCGCCTCCGGCCCCGCGTCTTTACCTGCGCCAGGGCCTCGGACAGATGAACGGACAGCCGGACGCAGAGGCAGGAGGAGGCCCCTGGCCCGTGCCGGCACCCCCGGAGCTGCCCAGAGCTGGCCTGGGAGAGGGTGACTGGGGCGCGCCCGCGGAGCTGGGCCTGGCCGGGAGCCCCCCGAACCGAGGGGACCGAGGGCTTTCCTCCCTCCTCGGATTATTAAAAAGTTCATTTCCTGGCGAATCGGGTGACGTCAGGGGCCCGGCGTCGCGGTGGCGGGGCCGCCCGGCCGGAGAAGCCGCCTCCAGTTACCCAATTACCGACTGTCAATCCCGCCGCCCCTCCCCCCACCCTCCCGGGGGTGGCCCGGACCCCCACCCTCTCCCCGGTCCCTGACCCACCTGGGATCCCTCTGGGCTCCTACTCCGAGAGCCGTAGACTCAGCTAAGGGAGAGGGGCTGAAGGACGACGATTACTCCCCCTTACCCTCGCACCTGTCTCAATCCCCCCAAAGTTCTTTGTTTCTGACACCCCCCCCCACACACACACCTCCTCCCTTGTCGGCCATAGGCTCCTTTCGAGCCTCGGTCTCCTCAGTCTGTATAATGGGAGAGAGCAAGGAGATTTGTGCACGGGGCCCACTCCCCCCACAGAGCTGGATCTCTGCACTGGAGGTGTGTGGAGAGCGGTTCAGGTGACTTAGGGGACGGAGTTCTCAGTCTACCGCCTCCCTCTCCCCAGGGGCCGCCTTAGGGACCCCCGAGAGGGAAAAATGCCTCCTCCTGCCCAGAGGCGTCTCCTTCGAGCCGGCGCCGGCGCCAGTCCGGGTCTCCATGGCCTCGCCCCAGGCAGTTCGGCCCGCTGGTCTGCGAAGGCCACGCCCGGGAAGGGGACGCCCCCTCCCCCTCTCTGGAGCCGCCAGCCAGGCCACCTCCACCCGGTCAAGCACAGTCCTAAGCGGCCTGTTGTCCGAGGCCCAGGTGCCCGCTCGAGCCGCGTAGTTCCTGCCCCTCACTGCTCCTGCTGTCCCGCAGCTGTCCTTCCAACCCCCTGCCCAGCCAGAGCCCGAGTCGGGGGAGGGAATGGTCTGGGTAGGTAGCCGGGACTTCAGCTGGCCACGTTCAGTGGTAAAGGAGGTGGGATCCGAGAGTGGAAGGGCTGGGGTCCCGGAGAGAGGACACCCAGACACCCAGAGGTTGCACGACCCGTGCTCCCGGGGAGGGGTCCCCAGTTGGAGGTTAGTTACTGGGAGGAGGGCCCTGAGGTTAGGGGGATCCAGGAGTGTCCGCAAGAGGGGGCGCAGCAGTTGGCCAGTGGGGTGAGGGTCCTGGCGGGGGGCGTTGGCAGCAGGGGCCGCCGGGAGGGCGCTGGGAGGGGGCCCGCCGGCGCAGGGGGGCAGGCCCGCGGGGTCAGTCCCGGAGTCCGGCGGACCGGAGTTGCGGGCTCAGCCAATGGGGGGCGGAGGCTGGGCGGCGCGCGGCGCTGATTGGCTGGCGCGGGCTTCTTAGGCGTGCACGGCCCCCGCTTCATGTCTGTGCAGGAGTCGCGAGCTGGCGCCAGGGCGGCCGGAGGATGCCGAGGGGCCGGAGCCGGGCGGGCCTGAGGCCGAGGCGCGCGCTGTCCCCTGCTCCTACCCCGTGAGCCCAGCCGCCCGAAGCGCGATTCCTGAGCCCGCCACTCCCGGGGCTCCCTACGGTGCTGATCCCCCGATCCCGAGGCCGCGCCCCCCCTCCCCGCGGCGCTGGGTGTGTAAGTTTGGGGTGCGAGAACTGGCCGGGGGCCTGGGGCGCTTCAAGCTCTGAGAGGTCTCTTCCGGGGCTCAAGGCCGGGGCCAGGCTGCGGGTGACTGCTTTGGTGTGCCGTGGTGAGAGGTCCTGATTGTGCCGCCTAGGAGTGCGCGCAGGGGGCTGGCTCCCAGCCGCTGGGGCTGCGTGTGCGTGTTGCGGGGGGGGGGGGGGGCGGAGGTCGTCAAGTCGGTATGTGTATCTGGCGCCAAGTGTAGGTATGTGCGTGTCGCTGGGATCATGTGCCCGGGTGGGTGCCCAGGAGCCTGTCTCCAACTTTTAGTCTGTGTTTATGTGTTTTGTGTACCGGGAAGGAGGGGGGTCGGTGTGATTGTCCGACTTAAAGTGAGACTCTGTATGTGTTTGTTGGGGTAACTGCTGTCGGGGCTTGTCCCGTGTGTGACCCGGCGTGCACGAATGTGTGGCTCTGGGACCGGGGGTCACCATGTGAGTGTGTGCGGCCGAACCCTCTCCTCCGCCTTCCTTTCGTTTTGAGCTTTGAGTTTTCCTCCCACCCGGGACTGATCCTCGGCTGAGCGCGGCTGAGGCGCAGCGGCGTGCGGGACTCCGCGTGGCGGGACTTTGGGGGTGTCAGGCCGTGGCGGCGCCCCTCACACCCCCTTCCGTCGCTCAGGGACGCCGCCACCGCCTCGGCCCAGATCCCGAGCCTCCACTGCGGGCCATGGAGGTGGCGCCGGAGCAGCCGCGCTGGATGGCGCACCCCGCCGTGCTGAATGCGCAGCACCCCGACTCGCACCATCCGGGCCTGGCGCACAACTACATGGAGCCCGCACAGCTGCTGCCTCCCGACGAGGTGGACGTCTTCTTCAACCACCTAGACTCACAAGGCAACCCGTATTACGCCAACCCAGCCCACGCGCGGGCGCGCGTCTCCTACAGCCCCGCGCACGGTGAGCCCCCGGCCAGTGGGTGACTGGGAGTCCAGGCGCCAGGGGCGGGAGGGGAGGAAGGCCCGGCTGCCTGCTTCCCGGATGTGAGATCCGCAGGAATCGAAGCAGCTGAAAAATTGGGGCGGGAAAGGTGGGGGCAGCAGCCTCTTGGGGAGGGTTTGGGCACCCTAGGGTTTCTGCCCATTTCCAGCTGGCCTGTGGGGGTTCCCTCCAGGCCCTGGTCCAGTGGGGTTCCTTCTGTGCCACTTGTCCGTCAGCTCGGGACTGACATTCTTGATTATTGCCGGTTGGGGTGTTATGTTTCTGGTTTTCTTTGGGAAGAAGGTTACTGCTGGTTGTTCTGTGAGTTGTGGTCCTGTGTATCGGAGCCCTAGCGCGGCTCAGCCTCTGCCCACTCTGACCCCTCTCCCTCCTCTTGCAGCCCGCCTGACCGGAGGCCAGATGTGCCGTCCACACTTGTTGCACAGCCCGGGGTTGCCCTGGCTCGACGGGGGTAAAGCTGCCCTCTCCGCTGCTGCAGCACATCACCACAATCCCTGGACCGTGAGCCCCTTCTCCAAGACACCGCTGCACCCCTCAGCTGCTGGAGGCCCCGGAGGCCCCCTCTCCGTGTACCCAGGGGCAGGGGGTGGGAGTGGGGGAGGCAGCGGGAGCTCTGTGACTTCCCTCACTCCCACTGCAGCCCACTCTGGCTCCCACCTCTTCGGATTCCCACCCACTCCGCCCAAGGAAGTGTCTCCCGACCCGAGCACTGCCGGGGCTGCCTCTCCAGCCTCCTCTTCCGCAGGGGGTAGTGCAGCCCGGGGGGAGGACAAGGATGGCGTCAAGTACCAGGTGTCACTGACCGATAGCATGAAGATGGAAAGCGGCAGTCCCTTGCGCCCAGGCCTGGCTGCCATGGGCACCCAGCCTGCCACACACCACCCCATCCCCACCTACCCATCCTATGTGCCGGCCGCTGCCCACGACTACAGCAGCGGACTCTTCCACCCTGGAGGCTTCCTGGGTGGCCCTGCGTCCAGCTTCACCCCTAAGCAGCGCAGCAAGGCACGCTCCTGCTCAGGTAAAGGCAGGTGCCAAGGACCTAGTGGAAGTGGGGATGGTTTGTGCTTTTGCGTGTGTGTTTTGGGGGAGGAGGGCTGTGATATGGGAGATGGGGCGATGTCAGTCTTCCAGATCTGGGATGGGTGATGTCCCCCTCCAATAGCCTCCAACAGATGTTTGAGACTCCAGAATGGGGGAGAGGGAGCCCTAAAACTTTTGTCCTTTTCTTAACTGTTCCCAGTGGCCCCCAAAGTTCATTTCCCTTCCCCCCTCCTCGCCCTCCCTTCCAAGGTTGGCCACTGCCAGACCAACACAGGACGGGAATTCCCCCTTCCCTTCCCTTAATCTGAAGTGAAAATTTGAGCAGCCTCTTGACTTAATGTGGGAGAGAATGCAATACACAAGTGACAACCATGAGGCTGTGTGTACGTGTGTTTGTGAGTGTGTGTGCATGCTGTGGGTGTACTGTAGGTGCTCCAGGCCCTCAAGGAGTCTGGTTCTCCAACGCAATCAGTCCAGTCTTGGGATTTCGATGTTTCCCAATCTCCTTGGGAGATTTCCCCCAAAGCAACATTCCCAGGACTTGTTCCTGCTCCCTGCCCCCTAGCGTCCTTCATTCTCCCTGAAGGCTGGAGTGAGGGGGATGAAGGATAGGTGCCTCTGCCCCTTTGCCGGAGGAGATGGCTGGAGCCAAGCTGGTTTGTCCAAGAATCTGGCCATAGAGCAGAAACCAGGGCTAGGGCAGGACTTTGGCTGTCAGTGCCTCCTTCCCAGTCCCTGTAAGTGGAGGAAGAGGAAGACTTTTTAAACTTTTACTCCTGAGTCCGGGAAACTTTTCATGCCCGTATAATATAAAGACAATTTAGTTGAAACTAAATGGGGAAACATTGTCCTGGACTTCGTGATGCCAGGGCATCCGGCTACCCTGCCTGATTGCTGCTGCCACCTCGGGCACCCCCCTCAGCCCCACCTCGGGGGCCCCTGTGCTGCTCAGGCCTGCTACCTTGCCTTTAATTAGCCCCTTCTCCCAAGTTTGTTTTACACATTCTATTTGAATTCCAGATGGTCTTTTAGCAACAACAACAACAACAACAACAGAAAACAAAAACAGAACCCCCAAAACCCACCATCGACAGAAGACCAAGGTCACTTAGTCTACTTGGCTTAAAAACAAAAGGGCTTATGGTTTATTTTATTTTAAAGAACACCGCCTTCGATCTGAGTCCGGGACTGAATTCTAGGGCCTCCGCGGAAGAGGGGGCAGCTGGGGAGAAAGAAGGAAATTCCCCTGCTTGGAGAACAGGAGGAGGGTAGGAGCTGAGGGCAGAGAATTGGGAGGTGGCAGACGCAGCTGGGGAAAAGGGGGGAGACCGAAGAGGAGAAGCAGAAGTAGAAAGCGAGCCAGAGCCCTCCCAGGCCCAGCCAGGTCGAGCGGGGCCACTCCTGCCACCGCCCTGCCGTCGGCAAAGTTTGCTGTAAATACCCTTTCATTGTCGCGCCGAGAATCCCTGGGGCCCTGGCCCCACTCCTCCCTCCTGCCCCGCTTCCCTTCCTTCAAGAGAGAGTTTTGAAGAGGGAGCTTTGGCCTTAAAG